ATTTGTTTGTTTTTTTTAATAGTGTGAGTATTTTGTATGTTAACAAATTTATTGCACTAAGCTACGCACAATAGTAAAACCAGCTGTACTTTGTACACCCTTATCTGTTTGCACTTCTCACCAAAATCTGGTTTTGTTCAATGTATGGTTATTTTAGAGGGTGTGACGGACGGACTAACGGAAGTCACTGAATTTTATATATAGATAGATTATTGAAGTTAAAATATTTCATTGCACCAACGAAGTCTTTTTAATTACTTTTACGCGAAAGTTATTAAAAGAAAAATAAACTAGAAAATATTGATTTTTTACACTTATGTTCACCCTCTACAACGCCTAAGAGCCACTCTAGGTAGAGGGTTAGTAAAGTTGGTTATTGCGTGAGTTGTAAGAGTAACAGGCGTAGTTTATGAGAATATGTGTGAAATATCATAAAACATTTGTGATATCTCCAACCGTCAGATTTTTTTAGTATTATTGAAAAAGTTTAGTCTATTAGAAAACTTTATGAAAATATTTTCAGGTCAATTACAATCCGTTAACTTATTCCATGGTATCTTTGATTTTCTTTATCTATTTACTGTATTTTTAACATTAGTATAACAACATTACTATAATAACATTACTATAATAGCATTATTATAACAACATTACCATAACAACATTACTATAATAACATTATTATAACAACATTACTGTAACAACATTATTATAACAACATTACTATAACAACATTATTATAACATCATTATTATAACAACATTACCATAACATTATTATAACAATATTATTATAACAACATTACTATTACAACATTATTATAACAACATTATTATAACAACATTACTATTACAACATTATTATAACAATATTATTATAACAATATTATTATAATAACATTATTATAACAACATTATTATAACAACATTACTATTACAACATTATTATAACAACATTATTATAACAACATTACTATTACAACATTATTATAACAATATTATTAACAATATTATTATAATAACATTATTATAACAACATTATTATAACAACATTACTATTACAACATTATTATAACAACATTATTATAACAATATTACTATTACAACATTATTATAACAATATTATTATAACAATATTATTATAATAACATTATTATAACAACATTATTATAACAACATTACTATTACAACATTATTATAACAACATTATTATAACAACATTACTATTACAACATTATTATAACAATATTATTATAACAATATTATTATAATAACATTATTATAACAACATTATTATAACAACATTACTATTACAACATTACCACAACAACATTATTATAACGACATTACTATAACACATTATTATAACAATATTATAACAACATTATTATAATCACAACAAAGCTTTATTAAACAGATAAAAATACGATCAGCTAAAGTAGTTTCGTCAAAAATTTCAATAATTTTTGGTTCTTTGAAATATATTTTTTTTTAATTTTACGGGACGTAATTCAGAATTTTATTTTTGGTTTTGATTTTTCATCTTCGGCAGAATAAAAAAAATTCCAAACATCATCCTGGGATAATTAAGCTCACACCATTTATTAATTTGGTGTGTTTGATCATTTAAATGATTTTCCGATTTCTTTTATTAAGTCACTCCTTTTATTTAATGTGGTTCTACAGAAGGATGCTGAGGATACCATGGACCGAACATGTGAACAACGACGAGGTTTTGGAGAAAATGGAAACAAAAAGGAAACTTATACTTGACATCAGGAAGAGGCAGTTGAAATTCCTGGTGCACGTAATGAGGAAAGAGGGCTTGGAAAACCTGATACTGACAGGGCGGATAAGAGAGCAAGAGGGGAATAGGAAATCAGCGCGTGACATACTTGATTGGGTTTGGAAGAAATAACAAAAAGACCCTAACCTATTAAGAGCTACAAGGGACAGGGAAGATGTGGAGGGGCATGATCGCCTACGTCCTGGAGAGACGCGAAACATAAAAGTGGAAGAAGACCAATCCGACCTACCCTATTATTAAAACTCCCTTTTATTCGGCAACTAAAAGTACACATTTGTTCTGGTTCACATTAAATCTAATTGCTAAGATACAATTATGTTTCACTAATTATCTCGCTGGACCCACGGAAATTCTACGAGTATCGACAACTAAAGATATTATCAAAATGCTGGGATATAGATTTCCTCAATTAAATCATATACTTTTGTTGAAGGAATTTATTAACTAGGGAACGTTATTATAATGATTTTCATAATATGCAAATGTCCAGGAAATTATCTGACACAATATGCAAATAAGAATTTTTTTTAGTTTCAAGTTGCTTCCATTAAAATACAGACGAAGAGGCGCTGAAAAGTTCGCGGTCGGACCAAGAAGCCCTACGAAAAACAAAAATCTTTTTGGTCAGATTTTAGGGAATAGGTCGAGCCAAAGACTTTTGGTATAACATTTTCTGTAATTAAAAATCTCTTTGCATATTATTTTCCTTGTCGTCAGCGTTTGCCTTTCGTGCTAGTTTTTAGTTTTTCAACAGCTTTACATCCAACAGAGCTATTAAGTTAACCTTTAGCACTCTGCATTATTAATATTACTTCTCTTTCCAACTGCATTTGTTTTTAAGACTTCTCAATTACAATATCTTTAGTGTTAATTTCACACAAATGTGTTTTCTGTTGCCATAGTAGGATATGACAACACAACTATGAAATTCAAACACACTATTGTATAGTAATCAGTCTCCTTCAGTGGCAGGATAAAATGTTTGTACAGAAAATGAAATCATATACAGTATGATGAGGGTTAAAAGTCAGACATTGTATAAGGCAGTATTTATCAAATTTTTATTTTATTTATTTTTTTCTTTCTTTCTTTCTTTTTTTTTTTACTACAGGCTGCACTTGTAGAATAAGGACAATCTTCATGCAATTTTATTCACACCATATTGGTTTCTCTCTTTCTTTAATTAAAATCATTAAAGCAAAGTAACCACTCCAAGAACTGGGAGAGGACAATCTTTATGCAATTCTATTCACACCATATTGCTCTACAATAATGGCTTCTCTCTTTCTTTAATTAAAATCATTAAAGCAAAGTAACCACTCCAAGAACTGGGAGAGGACAATCTTTTACAATTCTATTCACACTATATTGCTCTATAATAATGGCTTCTGTTTCTTTCATTCTACACTGAACAAAAAATATCCACTAGGAAACAAGTAATAGCTGATGTGGATGACATGAATACTTTTATTTCATTGACTTGACACTGAATATATAATATTATATTGTCAACATAAAGAGTTATTTAAGTTAACCTTTAGCACTCTGCATTATTAATATTACTTCTCTTTCCAACTGCATTTGTTTTTAAGACTTCTCAATTACAATATCCTTATTGTTAATTTCACTCAAGTGTGTTTTCTGTTGCCATAGTAGGATATGGCAACACAACCATGAAATTCAAACACACTACTATTAAAGTGATCAGAGTCTCCTTCAGTGACAAAATAAAACCTTTGTCCAGAAAATGAAATCACATACACTACGACAAAGTTTAAATACAATGTTAAAAGCTTTTTTTTCTGAAGTTTTACTTACTTGAAATCAAAATGTCATCTAGGTGTTCATTATGTAAAAATGTTGTCATCTTGGGATTGTATTCCTCAGTTTGGTGCATTGGTCTTTACTAAACATAGCTCAGTATGACACAAGGCCATAAATGTTTGAGTCCCTAGCAAGTTTCTAAACAACTTACTAGAACAGTTTCAGCTTGCCTTTGGAAAAAATGTCAATCTCTGAAATGCCAGCATGTTTTCAGAAATTCAAAGTATATATATATATATATATATTTTAAAGACATTTTTAAGTTTTTACATTCTTTTTATAGATACAAATATTTAAGTAAATGCTCTGTTTATAATAAACAGTATTAAACAACATTTACCGGCCTGAATGTCCGAGACATTTTCATAGAAAATATTCGTTCTCCGACAGAAATCGAACCTGTATCCTATACAGAACCGTCATTTACCTTGACGTGCCTTTAATCGATTTGGCCACAGAGGAGCGTTCGGTTAGCAAGGTCGAATTTACTGCCTTTAAACTTCAATCTTCCATGATTCTCTCACGTACATTCATATCTGCTCATGGCGTATCCAAATTTAAACAAATGACGTCACACATTATGAAATGGACAAAGTCCGACAATTATTTTTAAGATATTTTTATGTTTATACATTCTTTATATATATATATATATATATATATATATATTTGAAACTATTCTTGATAAAATCCAAAGAATCCGCAATGTTATTAGTCCTGACCTGGCATCTTGGCCTCAGTCACTTTTCCATCACCATAACGTGGCTTTCCTGTGCCTTTAGTTAACCTTTAGCACTCTGCATTATTAATATTACTTCTCTTTCCAACTGCATTTGTTTTCAAGGCTTCTCAATAGCAATATCCTTATTGTTAATTTCACTCAAATGCGTTTTCTGTTGCCATGGCAGTATATGACAACACAACTATAAAATTCATACAAATTCAGATTCAAGGATCAGGGTCATCTACAGTGGCAGGATTAATTTTTTTTTGGTACAGCAAATGAAGTCACATACAGAGTGATAAAGGTTAAAATAATGACTTTTATTCTTATTGCGTCAATGACTGATTAAGTTGTTTTTTTTTGTAATTATATATAAACACTACTTTTTAACCATTTTATAAATTCTTACTGAAATAAAATGCAACTTGATAATTTTACGTTTTAAAAGATAATACATCGAAGAATTATTTCTGTCAGAACAATGTCCTCATTTTTTATATCAAAATGTATAGGCGGATGCGTCCTGTGGCTTTCCTCAGGTGTCTGCCGCTTTGGGTAACGTTTGTAGAGATTACCCCTACCTAGTATGCTATGATGGCCGCTATGCGGCGCTGTTTCAGGACTATGAAAGACTAGGATTAAACCCATGCTCCCTCTTTCTCTTTATCTATCTATCTATCTATCTATCTATCTATCTATTCTTTTATTTTACTCTCGTTTACTCCGAAATGTTAACACGAGTTTTGATCCCCGCTGGGGAAAATTTATCACCCACTGTTGCGGGTGGATACCTATTAGATTTGCCTCCCTTTATATAATGCATGTGAATAGAGAATTCCTTCGCATGTTGAAATATATTCCTTCTGAAAATGTGGGCTTCAATTTCTTGTTGGTTTTTCAACCTCAATCCCATATAAACCCGTAAAGGCACATTTTCTCTACATTTTGAAGAGCTGAACCCTTTATTTAATCTACGGGGGTTAGATTGCTCTCTTCCCACTGTCCATGTCTAGGGATATCCCATCTTTTTTTAGTACTGCTAGTTATTTTATTTGAGCCCGTACTATTCAGCCCAAGGATTGAACTCACAATTAATATGTCATAAAAATCATAAATCAACGCTTTAATCTTCTAGTCTATTGACCTGTTTTATGTCAATGCTTACTCAAGAACTGGCAACCTTAAATTTAATGATCTTTTTGTATGCCTGATGCTGATGCCTTGATGTCATACTTGAGCACCTTCATCCGCTGATTCTCTTTTTTTTTTAACTGCTGCTGATGATGGTGATGCTGAGGATGATGCCATTGCTGTCAAGCTCAGTTTTCTCTACTGTCGTCTCTCTTTCCCCCATATTTTATCTATATATTACCTCTATTATTATTATTATTATTACTATTTCAAAATGTAGCTTAAAAAAAACATAAAACATAATCACCGCCTCTAGTAATTATGTCCACACAAACATTTATATGCACAAAAGTATCATCTACCATGTAGTCAATTGTGAAGGCAGAATAACATATATTTTCATTACTTCAAAATCCCCCCCCCCAAAAAAAAATTAAATTTCGGCATTAAATGACCCACAAGGTATTGATATGCCGTTAAACAAATGAACAAGTTAACAGTATAAAACTCGGCACAGATAAAAACAAAAAAATACAATAAGACCTGAAAAAACTACATGAGAGAATTTGAACGGACCAAGGCTAAACAAATACAAACAAAAAAAACAAAAAACAAAATTAAATGAGAGAATGAGGTTGGAGTTGCAACAAGACCTAGTGCGAATCAATATCACCAATAACCGATTGAGTACCGTTTCGGCCGTTATACGTTCCGGCCTTCTTCAGGTGGTTGGAATGTCGAACTGAACCCTTTATTTCGCTCACTGGGGTAGACTGTTCTAGTTCCCCGTGCCATGTTTGATGGATGTCAGTAATCAGTTATCTCCTGATAATTTCCCTCTGAAAGTTCTCCACTGCCTTAACCGGCTTAAAGGGTTCAGTTCGAAATTCCAACCACCTGAAGAAGGCCGGAGCGTACAACGGCCGAAACGTTGTGATAAATATGGCGGCAAAGATGAGGACAATAGTCCGAAAAATGTAAATAATGTACATAATACCTCATCTCAGAAATATAGACAGACACTGAAGAATCTGCCACTTCGCCACCAACAAGCGAGTTCCATACTTAGATCTTCTAATGATTATGAAATCTGGTTTTCTCATTTCGATGGTATTATCAGTCTGGATCAGAAAAATTACAGAGTATTTTATTATTCTTATCTTGCAGCATCTGGTTTATGCTGATAGCATTTATTGATACGGTGTAATCGAAATTATTTGCACAGTTCCCACTATATGACCGTTCTGCCTCTATCATATCTGTGTGTGTACATGACTATTCTTTTATTTTTTTAAAATTTCATTTAGATCCAGTTTAATGGTCTCAATTATGGTGTAGCTTAAAATCTCTTCTTTTTTTCCACAAAGATAGTATTTGCTTTTTTTTTGCACATTTTACTTTGATAATTGTCTCGATGGATTTACTCTAGTCTACCATACTGAGATTTCGTATCTCTTTTAATGTGTCCTCTTTGTAACCGTATCTACGGCCGGTCTTCCATGATAGTTTGTATTGCTTTTAAATTCCCTCAGGAGAGTTTCTTTCTCCTGTTTATTTTTCTTTCGTTTTATTCATCACGCTTTCTGTATTTGTTGTTCTTTTATCCTTACACCCTTACTTTTTTAGTATTTCATTGTTATTTTAGTATAATGAAGCTTTGTTGAAGCGTCCTCTTCCTCCTCCTTTCCTTTTTTCATAGTCTATCGATATCATATCTGAGAGTATAGAACACTGCACATAATCATTAATTTCCTGATCCGTCCCTCTTTTGTCCAGTCTAGGAAGGGCCCTGTGTACATCAATATTGTCACTGTCCACAGATCCACCTCTTTTTACGAAATTTAATTGCTTATATTTTTCTTATTCTTTGAGGATATTCCTTTCATATTCTCACACTTTAAGGATTTCAATCCAAATACTCTAAGGTATTTCATTAATGTCTTAATTACTTTATCTAGCATTCAGTTCGATTTATAGTCACAGGTTGTTTCTTGTGCATTACTATTTGTACTGCCCGTTTCTCTGTACCAAATTATATTATGTCATCGCGATAAATCCTAACCGTAATTCTTCTCCATCTCCGTGTTTCTCCCATCTGTAGGAGATGCTTGCCTTTATTCATTGTGCTCGGCAATTTTAGGCTTCTCTAGATTACATTCGCTCGGCCATTTTATTGATGGTACAATTTTCTATCTTATTTTATTATTGTTATTAACATTATATTTCGACAATTCCATTCATCTTTTTTTCTTCTTGTTCTTATCACAATTTCTCCTTTCTTTTCGTCTGTTCCTTTTTCTTCCTTTTCTTATCTGTTTTTCTTCTTTGCTTTCTTCTTCTTCTTTTCCTTTATTTCTTTGCTTTCTTATCTTTTTCTTCTTTTCCTTTTCTTCTTTTTCTTTCTTTTCTTATTTGTTTCTCTTCTTTACTTTCTCTTCTTTTTTCCTTTTCTTTCTTTTCTTATCAGTTTTTCTTCTTTGCTTTCTCCTCTTTTTCTCCTTTTCCTTTTCTTCTTTTTTCTTTTTCTTTCTTTTCCAATCTGTTTCTGCTTCTTTACTATCTTTTTCTTTTCTTCTTTTTCCCTTCTTCTTATCTTTCCTTTCCTCTACCCTCTTTCTTTTCTTTCGACTTCTCTTTTTCTTCTTCTCTTTATTTCTTTTCTTTTTTTTCTTCCCTTTTCCTCTCTTGTTCTTTTTCATTTTTTTTCTTTCTTCCTTTCTTCATATCTTCTCTTTTTTCTTCTTTTTACCTCTATCTTTTCTTCTTTCTTCTTCTTCTTCTTGTCTTCTGTCACTCTTATGAGGTCCTTTTATTTCCACATTCTTTTTCTTTTCTTCATTATTAATGTTTTTCATATTCTTTCTTTCTTTCTTTTGTCCACTCCTGTTTTTCGTCTTTATTGTTTTTTTCTTATATTTCTTCTTTTTTTCTTTTATTCTTGTTTTTTTTCCTTATCTTTCTTCTTTCTTTTCTTTCATCTTTTCTTCTTCTTCTTCTTCTCTTTATTCTTTCATTATTTCTTTTACTTCCGTTTCTTCATTTCCATTTTTCTTTCTCCTCTTCTTTGTTTTTTTTCTTTCTTCTTATTCTCCTGTTCCTTCTCTTTTTCTTCTCTTTCTCTTCTTATTTCTTTTCTTTCTTCTTCTCTCATACAGTCTTCTATCATTATTAAGGCTTCCTTTTATTTCTTCATTGTTATTGTTTTTTGAATTGTTGTTGTTTTTATTATTATTATTAGTAGTAGTAGTAGTAGTAGTAGTAAAACTTCCTATCTTTTTTGAAAAGTGATTTCATTTTGTTGTTATTTGGTAAGCGGGAAGATGAATGTCAGAAGACTTAATTTCTGCTTCTTTCTTTCTTCCAGCCCCCCCCCCTCCCCGCGCGTTTCTCCGCCAAAGACTCGTTATCTGCTTTCACACTGACATGTCCCCCGGGTTTGGTTAATAAAGGTCATTTCGTTTCCTTCCTAGAAAACACCGAAATTCATCATATGACATTGTAAGAAGCACACACACACACACGCACACACACGCCTACGTGAATATTTATGTGGGAGTGAGAGAAAGAGAAAGAGAGTGTGAGAGATGGTAAGCAAAAAAAGTTCGTTCCGTATATAAGTAAAAATAAAATGACATTTTATTTTTTTAAATTTTCGGAATTAACTTTATTTGACAACAAATTAACGTTTCATTACATTTTTTGTTTATTTTTTCGTTCAGACAACTTGACAGTTTCATTTTCTCAGAATGTTTTTTTTTTATCTTTTTAATAAATTATCTTTCTCAGCAAAGAACTGCTTTAGGCGCTTTTGCGGACTTCCGGGATTTTTTTTTTTTTTTTTTTTTGTCGAGAAAATTCTATAAAGAATGGAATAAATATCTGGTGAGTGAGTGAAAACCAAACTTTAACAATTTTTGCTTGATCACCGAAGGGACATTATGTCTGGCATTCTCCTGATCGAATAATTATGCTCTTTCTCTTAAATAACTCCGGGCTTATTTTCGTCTGTTATCGCCTTTGAACTCGTCTCAATGGCGTAGTACTTATTCGAATCAGTTATTTGGAAAGAGCTGTTGGTAGAGGACTCACTTCCATTTATAAAAATTTATATTTATACTAGCAGTAGAGCCCGGCATTGCCCGGGGATGTAACAGTAAAAGATAGATCAAGTATCGACCATCATAAAGACTAAAAAATAAAATTGACAAAGATTATTGTTTAAGATTGACGGACACGCATGTCTTAATTAGTTTTTTGGGGGTGGGGGGGTTACGAATTGGTCAAACCCAAATTCAGACAAAAACATTGTTTTCAATCGTTATGAGTCTACCGATTGAATAGAATTTAATTATAAACAATTGTCTTGTAAATGGAATTTTTAAAGCATTCTGAATGTAAAAATAAACGAAAAAGTGTGCAAGACAATAAGAAACACTACCTGCCAAAAAAAAGTGAAGTTTTGTTGAAATCGGTTGAAAAATGTAGGAAATCCGATCACATATATAAACGAACACACACACACACACACAAACAACCTGGGTTTTATAATAAGTATAACTCGATATGAGTTGACCCCCTTTCATTAATGCCTCTTAATCGTGTTTTCAAATTGATTTCGTGCAAAAACAATTGTGTTTTTCCAACCGAACCACCGCAAGGTAATTATACGTAGTCCTGTGAAGTTTTGTTGAAATCGGTTGAAAAATGTAGGAAATCCGATCCAATATATAAACGAACACACACACACACACACAACGTGGGTTTTATAATAAGTAAGATACACAACCTAAATTTGGAACAATTAGTGATACTTCATTTCCGTAGTCTTACAATCCCTTCCGTACTACATTGTTGTAATGTATCTACGTTTCATCATCTGTTACGATTTGTTTCAAACCCAAATTTAAATACGTATCCGTAGTTTTTGCTCACTTAAATTATGTGAAAGTTATACATCAGGGTGACTAACGTAAACAAGTCGGTGTAAATGATAATTATTTAAAATACCTATGTTTGAAATACGTATGTGGTCTTGCTTTGAGAGAGTCAATGCTGATTTACCTAGAACTAATAACGTCCTTGAAGAATGGCATATATACATATGTATATATATATATATATATATATATATATATATATATGCGCGCGCGTGTGTGTGTGTGTGTGTGTGTGTGTGTGTGTGTGTGTGTGTGTGTGTGTGTGTGTGTGTGTGTGTGTGTGTGTCGTGCTTTAGCCCATTCGGCCAGAGAGCGGCCCAGACCGACAAAGATCTAATCGCCCTTTTAAGGAAAACCCCCAATTAGAAATGTAAACAGATCAATAACTAAAGAATTAATGGAGTTATTTTTAGTCCGGCATTTTTTATTACTTCAGACGTTATATTTAGTGGATACCCGTGTTTGAAATAGAGGTCCCTTTTTATTTTAAACACTGTATATTACGTTATCGGCCTGCTCATGCAATAAATTTTAATCTGCCAGAGAGCACATTTTCTCTTCTCATTGCACTGCCCATGTCTAGGGATATCACGTCAGTAGAAAGAGATCAATCTACCCCAGCAGATTGAATAAAGGGTTTTCTTCAGAATTCCCTGTACGTTACCCAAGCCGATATACACCTGATGAAGTACTAATTTGGCATATTTCGATAAATGTTACTGATTTATCCACAGAAATAAAATACTGTGTGTGTTAGTGCTTGTATTATTGTTATGAGTAGCCTTTCCCAAAGCAGACAAATATTACATTCAGATCCTGAGTAGTCTTACCGATCCATACGTAATTCTATCATTTTTGACGAGTACTATGCTAGTGTGTGCATATATATACGTCTTAATACATAATTAAAAACAAGGATTTTTTAAAATTTTCAATTGTTTTTATATATATGCACACACAAACAAATAAATAAACATACATACATACATATATATATATATATATATATATATATATATATATATATATATATATAACTATACACACACACACACAAATACAAATAAATGATGTATCTATTACCTACATTTTCTACCGATGTTGTTATGACAAAACTCACTCTCCCAACAAAAAAAAAAATAAATGTAAATTAAAAACTCCTTAATTTGATGTATTCATAATTCTTTGTTCGTTTTGCGTTTCGTCTTCCTGTCTCCGTTTCGTGTTTTTTTTTTTTTTTTTTTTTTTTATAACTAGCGCCTTAATTTCCAGCGTTTTAACATCAAACATTTGTTTGTGAATTTGTTTTGTTTGAGCCAATTTGATGAACGTTGCCATTCCGCTTTCGGCTTTACGTTTCAGTTTTTGCTTCTTCATTTTTTTTTCCTTGAACGCACAGCGCGCAGAAGTTTGATTAACAGTAATGATGGCCAGAATGCTTCTACTTGATTGTTACCACATCGCGGCTTTGCCTTTTAACTATTTGAACAGTATTATTTCTCTTTCTACTGCCTTGACAAAATAGTAATCTAGAATGAAAAGGAACAGCAAAAACTGAGACACAACATCAATACAATAAGTATGGATATGAATAAAGGTCTCTGACATGCACACAAAAGCGGTGCGGACCCAGAGTTCAAAACCGAATGGCTACAGTCTGTTTCATTCTTGAACGTAATCTTCAGGTTATATCACGACTTGAAGTTTGCCTTGCTATCGTATGAAGATTATGTTCGAACGAGAAAAAGACTGCGGCTATTCGGTTTTGAACTCTGTGTCCGCACTGCTTACATTTATATACGCTCTATGAAAGATGTTTTACTCTATAAATTTTACCCTATTAATTTTACCCTATAAATTTTACCCTATACATTTTGCACTGTAAATTTTACTCTATAAATTTTATCCTATTAATTTTACTCTATAAATTTTACACTATAAATTTTACCCTATAAATTTTACTATATAAATTTTACCCTATAAATATAGCATAGTATATTTAGTGTGTGTGTGTGTTTCATTGAAACATGAAAGATGTTTTACTCTATAAATTTTGCACTGGAAATTTTACTCTATAAATTTTACCCTATAAATTTTACACTATAAATTTTACGATATAAATTTTGATCACTTGATAAGACATCAGAGGTGTTGAAACAAAATGGCTATTTTTGTAGTGATTTAACAACATATTTATGTTATAATTTTCGAATAAATTATATTGAGCACTCTTTTAAAATAGCATATTTTTGGCTAGTGGAATTGTTTTCGTATACACCAATATATATATATATATATATATATATATATATATGATTAATTAGTAATACAAATATCAAATTTGGCACTTAGCTGATTGATCTTATATTCAGCACCTCAGCTCCATAGTTTCGTACACGGACTTTTGTGTAATCGTTCGGCCCACTCATCAGGGGATATCAGCAATGGCCACCTATTTCTGAGTACAGTGCGGCTAGCCAATCTTTGTGGCAGACGCTTGCTCAGATACATTAGTGTCTGTTCAACATCATTATAGTTTATACTGCAACTATGCTGAGCAAACCTTAATGGCAGATTCTGGGAGACAGCACTTCATCTGGCGTGATCAACACCTTGAACTCTCGGCCATGAGGACTTGTGACTTGGTGCTAGCACAACTATCAACGGCTTTAATGCTTAAGTCAATCCGTGGTATGTTTTACATGCCAGTAACATCAAGAAATTACCACCCTGACAAATTGAATATGGTGAAATTCGAAGCCGTGTCTTATAAATATCCCAGAAGGCGACTGTTCTAACCACTCGGCCAAGCTAATATATATACACGACTGTGTGTTGAGAAATTTTCTCACCGACTCAATTCCAAAAATCTGACCAAATATTAGACACCTTTTTGAAAGGGTTTCTTAACACTGTGTTTTTGTGTGTGTGCCCTGGATATGATATCTAACTATATATTGATGTAAAAGTCCTCATCGTCATATTGAGAAAAAAAATTTGGGGGGGGGGGGTTAAAATTTACTCAGTACTTTATTGAGTGTTCATGGATCGTGTTTTATAAAAGGCTTCCAGAATTTTAAGGTTTTGCTTATTATTATTCTGATGAAACACTGATGTATTTCCGACAAATATCTGTCTAAACAGTGAATGTCGACATGAGTGTTTCTTTAAGCGTTCTGAGATTGAACTATGATCATTCAAGTTAAACATAAGGCTTCTCGTCGTCGTCGTCGTTGTAAAACCATTTTTGTCAGAAATGCAATCTGCCAAAGGGCATTTAAAGACGCTAGTTGACGGAGAACAGTTGTTATGGATTGGTTGTATTAAATTTAGTATAGTATATAATTAATTTTATTTTTTTACTTGGATCTGTGGGGGATATATTAGTGTTTATGAGTCTTTTTAGAATGTTTTCCTCCTGCTTATAGTTAGAATGCATTATACATTCAGGGTGAGGTAGAGATGACAGAGGACGGACGTTTTTGAAATGGCTATTACTCAGCCCCAGGAGGAGGGAGATATGTCTGACAGGTACCATTCGATCTGTGGTGTCTTAGCATT